AAGTGGAGCTGGGAGCAGCTGTCCTGGCCCCCTGGGATGCCCTGCAACCTGGCTGGGTGCTGCCATGGCCCAGCTCACTCAGCTGCCCTCCTTCTCTGCAGATGTCCCCCCCACCCAGTGGCTTCAGTGAGCGGGGTAGCGGCGGTGGTGGGGGCGGACCCCTGTCTCACTTCTGCTCGGGTTCCCCTACCTCCTACTTCGCCAGCGGCCTGCAGGCCGGCCTGAAGCAGAGCCAGCTCAGCAAGGTGCGTGGTCCGTCTTCCCGGACCCCCAACGTGAGAGCTCCTGCTGCTGGCCTCAGCCCCCAGGACTGACCAGTGCCCCTTCTCTCCTGCTTCTCCCAGGCGGTCGGCTCCTCGCTGGGCTCCGGGGAAGGGCTCCTGGGTCTGAGCCCGGGGCCCAACGGCCACAGCCACAGCCACCTGCTGAAGGTACGGGCGGGGGGTGGGGCCGCCCAGGGCCCGGGAGGCCTGGCCGGCGGGCTTCCCCTGACCCAGATCCCCCTGCCCTCTCTCTCCAGACCCCGCTGGGCGGCCAGAAGCGCAGTTTTGCCCACCTGCTGCCTTCGCCCGAGCCCAGCCCGGAAGGCAGCTACGTGGGGCAGCACTCCCAGGGCCTTGGTGGTCACTACGCAGACTCCTACCTGAAGCGGAAACGGATTTTCTAAGGGGCCCGGCCCAGATGTGCCCCGCTCCCCGGGGCTCTGCGCCAGATGTGCCCCACTCCCCAGGGCTCCACACCAGATGTGCCCTGCTCCCCGGGGCTCTGCGCCAGATGTGCCCTGCTCTCCAGGACTCCGTGTCAGATGTGCTCCACTCCCCAGGGGCCCGGCCCAGATGTGCCCTGCTCTCCCGGGCTCCGCGCCAGTTCGCTTTGGGGTTTCTGATGTTGCGTTTTTAGCTTTTCTTTTCTTTTCTTTTCTTTCTTTTCTTTTTTTTTTGAGTTTTCTTCCTGTCGGTAGTAGAGAAGTCTCAGAGACTGCTGACCGACCAAGTGGCTGGAGCCCAGGGAGTGTGGGGGAACCAGGGGGTCAGCCTGTGCCCTGGGCCCCCGCTCACCACGCTGAAATCCCGCAGCCTTAAGAGAGAGGGCCCACCCCGACCCTGCAGCCCGTCCCTCCTGTACAGGGCCTTGCCAGTGCCTTGGGGGTCCCAGACCTCCCGCGAGAAACAAGACTGTCGCCCTGCCTCCTCCTTTTTTTAATTTTGACAGTGGACTCGGTTTCCTTTTTTGGTTTTTATCAGTCCCCATTCCCTTCGCCTCTTGATGCCTTAAACCTGGGCCACAGGCCCGCCAGCCCGGGCCAGAGCCCCTCGGACGCCAAGCACCAGGAGCAGCTTGACTCGGGACCAACCAGCTCTGGCCTGGGCAGGGTGGCCACGGGCACAGCCTGCCTGCTGCCTGGGAGCCGGAGCCCCGAGCTAGGCACCGTGCCCACCCCAGTGGGCCTCGCCATCCGCACCCCTGTCTGCATCAGAACAGCTCCCTGCAGACATGCCCGGCACCTGCCCACCTCGGGCCCTGCCTCTGGCCAGCTCGGCCACCAGCGTCCCCTCTGCGGACCTCTCCTTCCCCCGCACCTCCTCCTCCCACACAGACTTTTGCGAATTAAAGTTTGTAAGTAATAAAGAAATCAGAGCCGGCTGGTTCTTGGGGATAAACCGCGCACCCCGTTAGGCGGCAGGCGCGGAGGGCGGCGCGCCTACTCGGGTGATTACGGCCTCCTGCTCGGCTGCGCGGCTCGGCGCATGCTCGGTGGCCGAGTCACGTGATGCCTGTCATGGCCGCCTCCATGGCCCGTGGCGTGAGTGCCGGGCTGCGGGTTCCCCGGAGCGCCTGCTGGGCCCGGTGCGGGAGCTGTGCGGGCTCCGGATTGAGGCTGCGGGCGGCGGCGGCGCCGATCAGGACATTCTGGACTACAGGTACCGGGGAGCCCCCCGAGGAGGGTGCGGGCATGCCGGCGGGACGCACCGCTCGCCCTAACCGTGTTTTATCCAGGCTTGCAGCGAGCGGGAGAGGAGAAGGGCGGACGCGAGCGGCCGGGGGACGTGTGAGTGCAAGGAGGGCCGGGTCCACTTCCCCGCGGGGCCCAGGCCCCGCAGCCGCTTCGTCCATCCAGTCCCTCACACGCCCCCATGCCCTAACCCTGCGCCCGCGCTCCACCCCTTGCATGGTGTCCCCCAGAGTCCAAGCTCCACCTGCACCCCCATAGTGTCGCCCTGCGCCCGCGCTCCACCTGTACCCCCATGGCGCCCCCCTGAGCCCGCACTCCGCCTGGCTTCACCCCCATAACCCCCCTTTCATGGTGTCCCCCTGAGCCCACACTCCACCCGCACCCCACAAACCCCCCTTTTCATCCCTCAGAGTCAACGTGGTGTTCATAGACCGGTCTGGCCAGCGGATCCCAGTGAGCGGCCGAGTCGGAGACAATGTGCTCCACCTGGCCCAGCGCCATGGGGTGGACCTGGAAGGTACGGGGGTGCTCACTGGGCAGTGAGCGGGCCTGTGTCTATCCGTTCAGAGAAGCCCCTTCACCACAGCCCTCACCTTACCTGTTGAGCATTTTGGGGGTCTCCCTCGTCCATTGGGCCTCAGGTCCGGCCCATGGATTGCCCCGCTGTCCCTCTGGTTGACCCCAGGGTCTTTGCAGTCGCAGCTCCGGCCTGGCACCCCCCCACCAGCATCCTTCACGGGTCCCCCGGCCCTGTGCTCGGCGTACACCCAAGCGTGTGTCCTACTGGAGTGTTTCCCTTTGTCTCTTCTCGCAGTCGGCCTCGTCCACGCCACCTGTTGCCTGTCTGGTCCTTTAACGTTCAGTTAGCTTATTGTGAAGGGAAGGACAGTCGCCATGACCTGCAGCGTGTTCACTCCCGTCACGGCGACTCTGGGGACTCCAGGTCGCTGTAGGTGGCATCCCTGAACCCTGGGCAGTGCTGGAGATGCTGCATCTCACGCTGGCGGGGCACCTGCCCCAGGCCCCTCTCGCTGCAGGTGTGCCAGTGGACAGCCCACTTAGGTAGTGGGGGTCCCCGCTGCCCGCCAGCAGAGACCAGGGTGGAGTTCCTGGCTGACGGCATTTGAGTGAACAGTAGCCGTCCGGTTCTCGTTCTCTCTGCCTTTAAGATAATTAGTTTTTTAAAAGGGGACTTTAACCATAATGGCAAAGCTAGGGGCCTTACTGGCCAGCCATATGAAAGCTGAGTCCCTGGCAGGTGTGGTCCACCCGCAGGGCAAACGGCAGAACACGAGCCGGAGAGGGCAGCAGTCTGTGTCCCTGGGCAAGCTGCTTCACCTTCCTGGGCCTCTTATTTAGTTATTTGTTTGTTTATTTATTTATTGGAAAGTCAGATTTAAAGAGAGGAGAGACAGAAAAATCTGTCCGTTGGTTCACTCCCCAAGTGCCCGCAACAGCCAGAGCTGGGCTGACCCGAAGCCAGGAGCCAGGAGCTTCTTCCAGGTCTCCCATGCGGGTGCAGGGTCCCAAGGCTGTGGGCCGTCCTCCACTGCTTTCCCAGGCCACAGGCAGGGAGCTGGGCGGGAAGTGGGACTGCTGGGACTTGAACCCAGGTGGGATCCAGGCACATGCAAGGCGAGGACTTTAGCTGCTAGGTTACCGCACCGGCCTTTTTGTTTTCTTCATCTGTGAGCTGGGAACAGCTGGGGTCCTAGCCCTGGCTTAGCCCGGGGAAAGGGGACGGGAGGGTTGTAAAAACCCTTTAGAAGGTTTACGGCGACGGGGGACATTGTCCCCAAGCACGGGCTCTCCATGTTCGACCTGAGAGCTGGGAGTTAGGTTCCTGCCTGGGCAGGTGATCCATGGAACACATGCGTCCTCTGCTTCAGCCCCAATGCCCGGCAGCGGGGTGCCACCCAGCCCCACTGAAGTGTACGCTCACCCTGTGGCACTGTGGGCCCCTCAGCTTGGGGACGGGTAGCTGAGCAGAGCAGGCTGGAGGGAGAAGGGGGCGCGGTAAAACCTCCTCCCAGGACTGAATGGCAGGGCCTAACTGCGGCCTTCCCCTGTCCCCGCCCCACAGGGGCCTGCGAAGCCTCCTTAGCCTGTTCCACCTGCCACATGTACGTAAGTGAAGACCACCTGGGAATCCTGCCGCCCCCCGAGGAGAGGTGAGCTGGCAGAGCTGGACTCCTCCCCTCCCCTCCTGGCTGCCTGGCCCAGCTTGCTGCTGCTCACCGCCCCCTGCCCTCACCCCAGGGAGGACGACCTGCTGGACATGGCTCCCTTGCTGCAGGAGAACTCCCGGCTGGGCTGCCAGATCCTGCTGACCCCCGAGCTGGAAGGCGCCGAGTTCACCCTGCCCAAGATCACCAGGAACTTCTACGTGGACGGCCACGTGCCCAAGCCCCACTGACCCGGGGCCACAGCCCGAGCCAGCAGGAGCAGCATGGCCCCAGGGCCAGGACTAAGGGCACGGCCACCGCTGCGGGCCCAGCCCGGAGCGCGGACAGGCCTGAGAAGGGAGAGCGAGAAGAGTCGGCAGCACTTTGGAGATCCGGGAGGGGAGTCCAGGCCGTGGTGGGAACAGGGCCCCTCACCAGCCAGCCCCCGCCCCAGGTCCCCAAGAATGGGAGTGGGGAAGGGGCAGACTCTACTGGAGCTGCAATAAAACTATCGCGCAGAGCCTTGGCGGTGGCGTGTCCTTGGGGGGCGCCCACTGCGCCCCTCTTCCTGGGCAGCGATGGTTGAGACCAGGGCCCCGCCCCGGCAGGCGCGGAGGGATTTGGAGGTGGTCCTCGGCCGTGGGCTGTGCGTGCGAGGAGGAAGGGCTTGGGCAGTGGTGTTCGCGTGCAGCCGGCCCAACACAGCCCGATCGGATCCGATCCCGTCTCGGGGTGAGGGTCTCGGTGCCCTCCCAGGTGGGGCGCGCCTTCCCCGAGCTGGGGCCGGGGGGCACAGGGGGAGGCGGCGCGGGGGGCTGGGCTGGGGCGCCGGAGGCCAACGCGGACGTCTCCGTGCAGCTGCAGCTGCTGGCGCCGACCTGTCTGGACCCCGAGCCGGCACCAGGACCCCCTCCACGGCACGAGCAGATGACGCCAGCGTACCTGCAGCCCAGGTACGCCCCAGCACGCCTGCCCACCTGCCCCGCCGATCTGAGGGTCCTGACGGCCAGCGTCCGGGGTCAGCCAGAGGTCACGCGGCCAGAGGCGGTGTGGGACCCCGGGCGCGCTCGGGGGTGCTCACCCCGGCCCTTGCGCCAAGCGAACGGAGGTCTCGATCAGAGTCGCGGGGAGTCTGGCAGGCGCGGCCTCCACCGACCCATGACCACCCAGCCGCGCAGGCCTGGTGAAGGGGCTGGTCTAACGCCTTGGGTAGGGGTCCCGGCCGCGAGAGCTCACGTGAAGAGCCCACCCCCCAGGGCAGGGCCTCTTGGATGACTACTTTGTAACTTTGTGACTGAGCCGGGCGGGACGTGTCCCCTGCTCCAGGCCAGGAAGCCAGCGCGGGGAGCAGACCCAGGTGGTGGTGGTGCTGGTGGAAGCTCTTCAAGCCAGGAGCCGGTCAGGACAGCGGCGATCGGCTCTCCCTTCGCTCCTAGGTTACACCTGTGGCGCGTTTGCCAGGACCCCATCACGGCCCTGGAGCAGCGCCAGGAGAGGCCTCCCTCCCAGCACAGGCCTGGCTGGGAGCCCGTGGCCCTGGAGGCCGTGGACACCCCGCCTCTGGCCAGGCAGAGGAGCCAGGGCCTGGAACCCCCAAGGGCTCCCCCAGCGTCCCCCCTGAGGAGGCCCCGGAAGCAGCCGCACCCTCGGAAGGGAATGGAGGAGGCGGACCCTCAGTTCCAAGGGGTGACCTTGAACTTTGAGATCAAGTCAGACGCCAGTTTGCAGATCGTCCCCAGCTACCGGTACGGGGTGGGGTGGGGGGCTAAGCCTGGTGCGTGCAGATCCTGGGAGCCGGGGTGGGGTCGGTGACCCCCTTGATGCAGCGCCTGCATCGCCACGCCATGCCACGCAGCTGAATAGGGTTGGGGAAGAAGTCTGTGTGTGTCAGTGCAAATGCAGCTGTGGGTGAAGAAACTGCAAAAATATTGGAGTGGCCCGTTGTGCTAGCCTAGTAGCTAGAGTCCTCACCTTGCACGCGCTGGGATCCCGTGGGGCGCTGGTTTGTATCCCGGCAGCTCCACTTCCCGTCCAGCTCCCTGCCTGTGGCCTGGGAAGGCAATGGAGGACGGCCCACAGCCTTGGGACCCTGCACCCGCATGGGAGACCTGGAGGAGGCTCCTGGCTCCTGGCTCTGGATCAGCTCAGTTCTGTTGCAGCCACGTGGGGAGTGAACTAACAGATAGAAGATCTTTCTGTTCTTTTCCCTGTAAATCTGACTTTCCAGTTAAAAAAATAAATAGATCTTATATACATATATATTTTTTTTATTTGAAAGATAGAGTTAAGGGAGCAAGCTTCCATCCTCTGGTTCACTTCCAAAATGGCGGCAGCAGCTGGTGCTGAGCCGATCTGCAGCCAGGAGCCAGGAGCCAGGAGCCTCCTCCGGGTCTCCCACGCGGGTGCAGGGTCCCAAGGCTGTGGGCCGTCCTCCACTGCTTTCCCAGGCCACAGGCAGGGAGCTGGACGGGAAGTGGGACACCCAGAACTGGCGCCAGTGCCCATGTGAGATGCCAGGGTCGCTGCTGGCGACTTTACAAGCTACAACACCACGGGGTCTCGGAGCCAGGTGGATCTGCAGTTTGACCGTAAACACTGCTTTTGGGGGCTTGCCCAGGATCGACACCACATCTCCCCGCAGTGGCCTAACTCATGTTGGCGGCGGTGGCAGCAGCAGCAGCAGCAGCAGCGGCGGCCCGACTCAGGAGCCCCCTCCAGCCCCTGCTGTGGCTCCTGAAGTGAGCACCCCAGGACCCAGCGAGGCCCTGGGTGAGTCCTGGTCTTGGGGCCCTTTGTCCCCATCCTTCCTCCTGCCCCGCCTTGCCCATCCTGCACCCCCCATTTAGATCAGCCCTGCGGGAGTCGCAGCACCCGCATTCCCCGCCACCCCAAAGGCTGAGTCACTCCACCCCCGGCTTCCTCCCATCTGGTGCCTCCTTGCTGGGCGGGGCCTTCACAGGAGCCCCACCCCTACCGCTGCAGCCCGGCACACCCTTCCCCCCTACTGCATATCCCTGTGACCCCTGCCCCTTTTCTCTGACCTCTCAGGGCCCCGGCGCTGCGCTTCCTGTGGGACGCAGAGGACCCCGCTCTGGAGAGATGCTGAGGATGGCACCCCGCTGTGCAATGCTTGTGGAATCAGGTCCTTAGCCTGGAGCAGGAAGTTGGGGTGCAGGGCCTCCCCACTCTGACCCCAGATCTCTCCTGCATGCTGAGCCGGAGTGGTGGACTCGGGGGGAATGGTGGTGTCTGGCACCCCCTTCCATGCTGTGTGACAGGTCTTTGTCCCCCACCCCCCCAACGCCAGGTACAAGAAGTACGGCATGCGATGCTCCAGCTGCTGGCTGGTGCCCAGGAAGACCGTGCAGGTGCGGAGGCTGTGTGGCAGGTGTGGGATCTCCTGGGGCTCCCGCAGCGGCCCCACTGATTAGACCTACGCGCCTGGCTCTCCCTGCCCCCGACCAGCAGGGCAATGGGAACCCTGTGCCCGCTGCCTCTGTCCCAGCTGTCTTCCCCTCGGGGGTCCCAGGTGGGAGATGCAGGCTTCAGAATCCCCCAAGAGCTCCCCAGGCCACCTTCCCGTCAACCTTGCGGTGACACTCCTGTTGTAACTGGTAACGAAATAAACCACAGAGCTACTGCTGTGATAGCCGTGTGATTGGGGGGGACCCTGCCCTGTGTGCCGCTTCCCCCCAGCCCAAGTCGGCAGGTGGTGACTGGTTTCTCATCGGAATCGGGAGGGGCACACGCAGACCCCCGCCTGGTCACGTGTACACGGGGGAGTTAGCAACTCTTACAGGAGTGAGGGCTGGGCCTAGCAGTTAGGGTGCCTCCGCCTGGGCTCCATGCCCACCTTCAGTTCCCACCTCCAGCCGCCTGCTGGTGCCCAGCCCTGGAGGACAGCAGGGAATGGCTCCAGTGCCTGGCACCCATGCGGGAGACCCGGATGGAGCTCCTGGCTCCTGGCTTCAGATCAGCTCAGCTCCGGCCATTTGGAGAGTGAAACAGCAGGTGGAAGATCTTTCCCTCTGTCCCCCGCGAGTGCAGGGTCCCCAGGCTTTGGGCCGTCCTCCACTGCTTTCCCAGGCCACAGGCAGGGAGCTGGGTGGGAAGTGGGGCAGCCGGGACACGAACCAGTGCCCATGTGGGATCCCAGTGCATACAAGGCGAGGTTTCACCACTGAGCCATTGCGCTGGGCAGAGGCCAAGTGGTGGCTCTATCCCATGTCCGTGCCTGGGTGCAGTTCCGGCTCCCCGCCCCCCCATTCTGGCCTATGGGTCCTTTTGCACCCTGAAGAGCCTGCAGGCTCACCTCGCTGGGCCTGTGGGAGGTGAACCGGAGGACAGGTGGGCGTGCTTGGGCCTCTGCTGAGTGGCTATGGAGAAAGGAGGCGCCCTTTTGCATCAGCCACCCGTTTCCTGCTTGCTTTTCCTGTTCTCTTCTTAGCTCATAAACTGCTCCAAGCTGCCAGCAGGGCTGGGAGCTGCCCAGGCCGCCTTCCTTCGCTTGGGCTCCGGAGGCAGGGGGAGGGGAAGCCAACTGTTCCTTCCTTATGCCTCAGTGCGCCGTGCGCGGGGGTGCAGCTGACACCCCGTGAGCAAGCGTGTGTCTGCTTGGAGTCGCGGATGTGGGGGTGAACTGAGGCACGGAGGGCTGGGCGGGTGGGGCCTCCCAAACGGCTGACACATATATACCCTGCTCCCTTGCCTGTGACCGCAGCCACCGGGACTCCCCCATCTCCTAATGTTGGGGGGCTGAGGGGAAGTGGGTGCCAGTTACCAGATCTGGGGGACAGCACTGCAGGTCACCAGAGACTGGGAGAAGGAGGAGGGCGGCTTTGGGTCCCCACCCCTGCCCTAGGGGCTGCTGAGAACAGGAAACCGGGGAAGTGGCAGGGCACATGGAGGGCAAGGCCCCTGGCACTCCTGGAAACACAGGGTGGGGGGCGTGCAGATCACCTGGGAGGCTTGGGGCTGGGATTCAGAGCCTGCAGAAAGCAGCCAAGGGCCGTTCCTTTTTTATAAACTTTATTGGGGGAGGTGGGTAGAAAATAGGGGTGGCCACCCCTGGAGGTGAATTCATAAATAGTGAATGGAGAAGGAGCCGCTGCCGAAGCCCCTCCTGTTCCCGCCCCCAGGGTGTGCGCCTGGGGTGGGGCGCGCCCCCCGGCCCGCGGGGAGAGGCGGGCTGGTGGGGAGCAGGTTCAGGCAGACGTGAGCTGGATGGCAAAGACCTCGCCCCCCGCGGGCGACTCGGCGGCTTCCCCGGCCTCGGGGCCGCCCTCGCCGCCCCCAGCGCCGCCCGCGCCGTTCAGGCACACGGCCTCGCCCGAGCTCTCCGCCTCCTGCACGTTGTACTCGCCCTTCTTGCACGCCGTGGACTGCACGTAGAAAGCCAGGCCGGCCCCCGCGGCCAGCAGCGCCGCGCCCCCCGCCGCGCCCCCCACGGCGATCCACAGCCAGGGACCTGCAGGGAGACCCCCAGGGTGGGTGGGCAAAGTCGGGGCTCCTCCCAGCCCCGTGCCCCCCAGGCCCGGAGCTGCCGCTGGCACCTCCCCCACATGGCAGCGAGGGGTCTCCCGTGCAACCCGCTCCAGAACGACCCCACCCCTACAAGTTGCAGGAAGTTGGGGGTAGGGGGCCTTAGCTGGTGGACGTTTCAAGCCCCCTTGCCGGAAGCGACGAGGTTCCCCCCACTCAGAACCCACCCCAAGTTCATGCCTGCTGTTGCAAAAAGTTCGGGGACTCTGATGAGCGTGGATTTCCCAGTTTTACACCAAGGTGGGTTTTTTTAAATTCCTGTTTTGTTTTTCATTTTTCAGAATTCCCCTCACACACCCAACTTGGGTCATCAGTTGCCCCCAACTTCCGTTGGGATCCACCACGGGCACGGAAAGCCAGGTGCTGGTGGGCGACCCCCACGCAGCTCTCCAGCCACTCACCTGCCACGCGCACCGTGATGCGCCGCGCGTGGCGGCCATGCGCGTTGGTGGCCTCGCACTCGTACTCGCCGCCGTGGCTGCCCATGGCGCCTGCCACGCTGAGCGTGCTGTTGTTGCTGGAGAGGCCGATGTTGAGGGCCCCTGGCGGGGCGCGCCAGCTGATCTGGGCCGGCGGCCACGCCTCTGCGCGGCAGGTCAAGGTGAAGTTCCCTCCAGGGCGCACGCCTCCAGCAGGGGAGGCTGCGAGCTCAGCCACCACCGGCTGGTCTGCGGAGGACGGGGGAAGCAGAGAGAAGCTTGGCAGCCCCCCAGCCCCAATAGGGCCTGGAACACCCCTGGGGGCGGGCAGGCAGCCAGGGGAAGCCTCCTACCCCAACATGCTTCCTGTTAAGGCTTTGTTGCTATTCCACCTCCCACCATCCAGCTCATGGCTAATAACGTGCGTCCCAGACGAGGGGTCAGGTGATGGCACAGGGCTTGGGTCCCTGGCACCCACAGGAGACCTGGGTGCAGTTAACCACGGGGCCCATGCAATGGCGCAGCCAGTTAAGCCACCACCCGTAACTGGTTCAAATCCCTGCTGCTCCATTTCCAATCCAGCTCCCTGCCAGTGCTCCTGGGAGAGGGGCTTGGAAAGGCTGGGGCCCGGGCACCCACGGGAGGCCTGCGGGAAGCTCCTGGCTCCTGGCTTAGCAGGCCTGGCCCAGCCCCAGCCTTTGGGGCCACTGGGGGAGCAAGTCAGCAGATGGAAGATTTCTTTCTTAGTTCTACTTTTCTCTCTGCTTTTCAAACAGATCTTTTCTAAAAATGACACTGAGCAGTTGTGGGGAGCAAAAATGACGCACCCCTAGTGAGAAGAAGCCCTGTGGAGCTGGAACTAGGGCCTCAAGGTGCAGGTGGCGTTCCGGGGTCCCAGGGAGGCCTACTCACATTCCACGCCCACCGTGACAGTGCGGGAGTCCGTGCCGTGCGTGTTGGTGGCCACACAGAGGTAGGTGCCCGCGTCCTCCCGCGACACGCGCGCCCGAGGGGGTCGTGGCGTGCCCTCCCGCGAGCAGCGCACGCGTGGAGAAGGGCGACCCCGGGCAGCACAGGCCAGGGCTGCGGCCTCGGCGCCTTCCAGCCACGTCTGGTCGCTGGGACACGTGGATTCATCCATGTGTGGCGGCGCTGCCAGGGTGGGGGCCGGAGGGGCGCGTCAGGGAGGGGCCGGAACCCTGGACACCCCGCCCTCCGCCCCTCGCACCCGCCTGGGCCCCGCTCACACTCCGAGCTCACGACCACGGTTTTGACGGCAGAGCCGTGCCGGTTGGTGGCATTACAGATATACACGCCGGGTGCCAGGTCCTTGGAGGTGCTGAGGCCTCGGAGATTCGAGTCGGGGGGCGCCAGAGGCAGTAGCACCCCCTCGCTGGCGCCTTCAGAGCCCACACACTGCACGCGTGGCTGCGGCTTCCCTTCCACCTCGCAGGCAAACAGCTGCTCCGACCCTTCCACCCACGTCCAGTTGCTGGGGCAAGCATGCTCCTCGAAGCTGGGGCCGTCTGGGGGAGCAGCGGGAGATGGGGTTCGCAGGGAAGCCGCGCTGGCAGACGCTGGGGTGGCCCCGAGGGTGCGGGGAGGACTCACACTCCACCGTGACCGCCACGTTCTTGGCTGCGGAGCCCCGAGCGTTCACGGCCTCGCAGCGGTAGCTGCCCGCGTGCTTCCGGGCCACCAGGAGCAGCCCTTCGATGACCTCGGGCTCCCCGGCGCGCACGCAGCTCACGCTGGGCGGCGGGACCCCGTGCGCCACGCAGCTCAGCGAGGCCTCGGTACCTTCCAGCCAGGTCACGCGCTCCGGGCAGCCCACGCTGTCCAGCGCCGGCGCGTCTGCAGAGGCGCGGGTGTTGAGGGGTCAGCGGGAGACTTGGGGGTTCAGGCTGACGCGCTTAATCCCTTCCCTTTCCTCCTCCTCCCCCCTCACTGCCCCCATACTCCGCCCACCTGGAAAAGTTCCGCCCAAAGTCACGCCCCACGCAGCAGGACACGTCCGCCATCCCTCCAACCAGATCCAAGGCGGCAGAACCCACTCTCCCCACATCCTGGCCCGAGGCTTCTCTTCCTCAGACTCACACTCCACGGTCAGCGTCACGTCCCTGACCGCCTCGCCCTGGACGTTGGCCGCCGTGCAGCGGTAAGTGCCAGCGAGCGCGCGGGTGACCGGGCCCAGCAGCCCCAGCGCCAGCACCGCCCCTCCGTCGGGCCGCGCGCAGTGCACCGACGGCGCCGGGTTTCCGCGCGCCTCGCAGCGCAGCGTCTGCTCAGGCCCCTCTGGCCACGTCCAGCTCCTGGGACAGTCCGTGTCCTCCAGCCGGGGGGCGTCTGCGGGGCGGAGGGGAGCGGAGAGGGAACACACCGGCTTGGGAGCAGCTCGCCCCGGTCCTTGGGGCATCACCCGGGAAATGGGCATGCTGGGGCTACTCACATAAGACGCGGAGTTCCGTGCTTGCGTTCTTGCTTAGGGTCTCCCCGCCCACGTCGAGGGTGGCGTCGCAAAAGAAGCTGCGTCCATCGTCATTTTCAGTAGCATTAAACCGTAGCTGGACGGGCTGCCCCGGCTCTGCCGCTGGAACCCCATCCAGGGTGGCCAGCGCTCCAGCCCCAGGTGTACAAGTGACCGTCACCAACTCGCCCTCGGGGGCGCTGGCTTCACTCAGGGTGAGGAGGGGCGCTGGCAAGCCTAGGGGCCAAACATGGACCGGATCCCCTGACCTCAACGCCTCCCTGGGTCAAGGCCCTCCCATCACCTGCCCAAACTCCTCCTGGGGTCTCTCCAACCGCCCCCGCCCATCATTCGCTCCCCACCCCGTCATGTCTCCCTCTTATAAATCTTACTATAAACGGTCAGGTTCTCCCGGGTCTCCCGCCGTTCGCCCCCCAGGGTCACACTGCACACCAGCTGCCTGGTGCCTTCCTCCTCCACGCTAGCCACGGCCATGGCGGTGGCCACGAGAGCATCCGCCTCCAGGGTGACCTCGGGATTCAGCCTCCTGTCCCCCAGCGCGAGGTGGACGCCAGCCTCCGAGGCCGGGAACAGCCCGTCCAGGGTGCAGCTCACGAGCCTCTCAGAGCCCACTTCCAGAATTGCAGGGGCGACGAGACGCGGGGGTTCCGCGGACAGGGCTAGGGGGCAGAACAACAGAGCTGACCCTTCAGGGGCGGGAGAGCGCTCCCGTGGCTGTCCGCGGCACAGAGGGGCTCGGGTGCGTGTGCAGAGTTAAGAATCCGCTGCCGTTCCCCTCGGCCACCCCGCGTGCGCACGCGAGCGCACCTACCGTAGGTCCGGAGCAGCCTAGGAGCTGAGCTATTTTCAAACAGTCCCAGGCCGTGCGGCCGCAGGTCCAGCTCCGCGCGGCATGAGAAATTAGCTCCATGGTCCTCCCGCCGCGCCAGAACCGTGGCCGTGAGTATGGCACCCCGCGCTCGGGGCGGTTCGCCCGCGAAACTGCGACGGATTAGTTCCTGGGCACCCCGAAGTAGGGTCAGGGTGAGGCTCCCGCGAGGTCCCGCGCCGGGGACCCTACAGCTCAAGGTGAAGTTCTCGCCCACAGGTTGCCAGGGAGGCAGCGGCATCAGCTCCACGCGATCCGGGCGCTCTGCAGAATAAGAAATCGCGGCTCTTGGAAACGCCCGGGCTTAGAGAGGGCTTTGGGGAGCCGGGGATGAGAGGAGAGGGAATTAAGGGTCCAGAAGGAGGAGCCCGATGGGGCGGGCGCTGGAATCTTGGATGGGCGGGACCTGGAAGCAAGTGTGAGTAGTGGAATCGGAGCGTGGCCACCCAGAACTTACGGAAAGTACGGATGAGCCCACGAGCCTGGAGCGTGCGCCGCGCGCAGCGGAAGAAGCAGACGGGCTGGGTTTCGGGCTCGCGGATGTCCACCAGCTGCCGCGCCAGCCAGCGCAGCCCCCGCTGGGTCCCGTTCCGGCGCAGCGAGGTCTCCAGGCCGCCGCGCTCCGGCCGTGGGCAGTTGGTGCTGCAATTCAGCCAGAGCGAGCCCCCGCGCTCCACGAGCGCCACGCGGGGCTGCAGGTCCGCCCAGAAGGGCTCCTGCGCGACCGCTGCCCGGGGAGACGCGGGCTCAGCCTGGGCCGCTAACTCGGGAGGATCGAGCAGCGAGGGGACCACAGTCGGGAATGACCCCAGGAGTCCCCGCGCCCTGCCCAAGCCTCGGGTTTGGGGGTTATGCTCCCACAGGGTTCAACTGCAGGTGCCTCTGGGGGTATGCGAGCCCAGAGCCCCAGGCTCCAAGAAGCCGGCGACGGGGCGATGGGAATGTATGGGGGAGGAAGACGCCGAGAGGCAAGATGAGGGGTCTTCCGTGCACACAGCAAGGCAGGGAGGAAGGGACCCCACACGCGAGGACTGGGGACATAGACCAGTTCTCCGGGCTCCCCTGGCCGACTTCCAGGAGAGAGACTGAGGTTGGGGCGAAGGCAAGACAGAAATGAGGCTGGCTCCAAAATAAAGGACACCCCCGAAGCTGGGTGAGGAACATGGTGGGGAGAGGACGCGCGTGGCCGGGGCTCGTGGAAGCAGCTCTGGCCAGAGTCGCGAACAGCGCGTGTGAGTCACGACGACTGGGGAGATGGTGCGGAGGGAGGGGTCTTGGCGGATCCGTGAGTGGGAAAGGTGCAAGTCGGTGAGCAGCACCCGCGGAGGGTCTCCAGGGCGCACGGCTGCAGCCGAGCAGCCCGGATGGCGAAGAAAGGGAGTAGGGTGGAGACCCGGAGGAGCCGGGAGTCTTCAGTTCGTGTTGGGGGGAGGGGACAGGCTCCAGGTGGAGGGGCTGGAGCGTGGGAGGCGAGGGCGGAGCCAGCAGGGGGCTGGGAACTCCGCCCCCGCCCTGGTCCAGCACCCTCCGGAGCCGGGTCGGGCTCTTACCTGACAGGCCGAGGATCCCCAGGCCCAAGGCAACCCAGAGGCCGAGTAGCGCCCGGCGCAGCCCTGGCGAAGGCCCTGGCATCGCCGCCGCGGGGAGAGCGCAGGAGGCGAGGGGAGCGCGAGTGACGAGTTGGGCAGGAGGACGGCGCGGCGCGGCGCGGCGTGGCGCGGCGGGAGGAGTGTGGGGGAGTTGCGCTCGGGGATTGGTTTAACGTTGGTAACTTGGTTTCCAAGGAGGGGGCGGCGGCAGAGGCGGTGGGGGGCGGGCGGCGAGCGTGCACTGGGCTCCCGGCCTTGGAGAAGGCGAGCGAGCGGGAGCGAGCGACCCCCGGGGGGCTGCGTGCAGGCAGGCCCGCCTTGTGCCGGCGTCATCGCGGGCGGACGGGCGCGGAGGTCGGGGGGCGCGGGGAGTGGGTAGATGCTGGATCGCCCTTCTCCAAACCCCACCCACCCTTGCCTCAGATGCCAGGGTAACCAGCTGGACTCGGAGCTCCGCCTCTATGCTTAGCTCCACCCGCCAGCGCCCCCTTAGTGCAAGGATGGATGGGGGGCGCTCGGAGAGGTTTACCAGCGCCGGCGCAGGATAAAGGACAGGACTAAGGCGGAGAGGACGAGGGGGTCGTCTCATTCGGATCCCCAGCGGAGCTGACATTCTCGTGGACCCCCTTCTCTCCCTACCCACCACCAACTCCCCACTCCTGGCACGCGCCGGGCGAGGGGGCGGAGACGAAAGTGCCAGCGAGTCGGAGACACGTGTGCGTGCGCGCCGCGTTCGCGGGCGGCTAAATTACAGTCGGCTCCGCTCGGGGGCTGTATTTACCCAGCGTGCAGCGGGCATGTGTCTGCTCGGCTGCCGAGAGCGCCAGCCGCCCAGGAGCGCCCACCTTCGCGGCGGCGGGCGAGGCCTTGCCAAGGCGGCCAGCACCGGCCTTGCAGTCTGCATCCACGGGCGACCGCGACACTCACCCTGAGGCTCTGACCTTGCATCCGGACCCCCACGCGCCCATGGCTCACCACCTGTGCCGCGCGCGCCTGGCCCCGAGGGCGTCTGCCACTTGCATCCCGCGTGGGCTCTCCGGCTTAGCCCTGCCCGCTGTCCTACAAGGGAAACCGTGTCCCTCAACGTGCCCTTGTCAGTTGCCCATCTGGGGTCTCCCAGCGCTCGCCAGGAGCTGCCTCGGGGACCCAGAGGGGGCTTGCTCCACGGCTGGCCTGCGCAAAGTGGGGTGCTGTTAATGGAAGTGGGTTGGTGTTGGGAACGGAAACTTGGCATCCAATCAGAGCGCGGCCTGAGGGAGGCGGAGCCAATCAGCAAGAGGCGCACGGTGACCGCGCCCAGGGCCGGGCTTGGGGTTGGGGAGGCCCTCGCTTTGAGCGTCTGTGCGGACGCGATAATGTTCGCCGGGAGTTCGCAGCTCCAGCGGCCGTGCGGATGCGGAGACCTTAGAGACGCCGGCGTCGGGGCCAGTGAGATGAGCGACTTGGAGAAAAATACCAGTGGCTAAAGGGAACCCCCAAAACAAGAGCCTATTTCCTTGGGGTGCGCTCTCGGGTGTGTGTGCTGGGGGGGTGGTGAGGACCGAGGCCAGCTCAGGATGGCTTTATTGATCTGAACAGGGCCCCCCTTCCTCCCAACCCCTTCATCGAAATTGTTCTTTCTGCTCATCCGTCATCCGGCACCGGAGTCTACATTTGCGACTTCCTCGCTAGGCACCTGCGCAGGTAGGCCCCTCCCAGGGCGAGGAGGAGTCCCCCCAGGGCGGCGATGGAGGTGCAAGCCAAAGCTTTGGACTGGGAGCTCCAAGCTGGGGGCGGGGGGGGGGCAGGAGTGAGGACAGGAGGAGGAAGGGGAACAGAATTAACAGCCAGATCCAGGAGGAACTCAAACCTTGGTGTGGGAAAGGGGAGGATCCCAACCCATCCTCCCGCACCCCCACCCACCACCCTGCAGGGGTACCTCACCAATGACCGCGAGTGTCACGGGGGCAGAGCTGCTGTGGACCACCCGGCCGGGCAGGTGGAGACTCCAGTGACAGGTCAGGGGCTGCCAGAGATCGCGAGGCCTCGCAGGCCACTGATGGGTCACCGTCACATTGGCCATGTTCTGGCCTTCAAAACACTCCAGGCTGTCGTGGGAGATGAGCCGGCCGCCGAGCCTCAGGGTCACCACCAGGGAGTTGACGGGGAACACGTGTATAATGTGGCAGCGCAGAGTGTAGACGCCGCCCACCAGGACCGGGGGCTCCAAGACCACACCGCCGGGCGGCTCTGCGGGGAGAGGGCACCCCACAAGGTCAGGTGCGCCGGGCGCGCCCCCTTGGCCCACTGTCCACTCCCCGTCTCCCTCCCCCTCGCCCGGCCCTCACTGTAGGTGGTGATCCTGGCCGTGGCCCCCCGCGTTTCTCCCGCGCGCGTGACGGAGCAGGATGCGGTGGAGTTCCGGGCTCTCACGTCCAGCAGTTCGTAGGACACCCAGCATGGCCCGCTCAGCGTCTGGCCTCGCTGCAACTGCGTCTGCAAGCTGGGCTTCTCCACCAGGGGGCAGCTGGTGCTGCAGTTGAGCCACACGGAGTGTCCTGGCAGCACGGCCACCTGCTCTGGGCTGAGCCGCACCCAGAAGGGCACCTGCTCCCTCGCGCCTGCGGCTCCCAGGCCAAAGGACCCCAGCCAGAGCCCCAGCCCCAGGAGCAACGCAGACCCCATGGCCTAGGGCCGGATGTGCCAGCGCTTCCCCCAGCTGGCTGCAGAGATAAGGAAGGGAACCCCATAGCCCCGCCTCTAACTCCGCCCTTGGCACGGAGGGGGGCCCCAGGAGCCCTTTCTCGGCTCAAGAGAGGGGGTGCTAACCCCCAGGTAATCCACATGCCATTGACCCAAACCCAGATTTGAGCCAGAGCCTCAGGCGTGGGATTCCAAGGCTCCCAGCTGGACTTCACACAGCAGGCAGAGAAAAGCCTTTATTGGAACAGTGGGAGAGGGGGTGTCCAGAGATAGCTCCCTCCCACAAATCATGAATTAGGTACCCCCCTGCCTAGTCCCATGGCCCCGAGACACAGGAAACACGGGCAGGCGAGACAGGTGGGTGTAGGTCCTTAGGACGCCGTGGCCAAGCCGTGGGTGCTCGCATCTGGCCAGGGCATAGCTCCACTGGCACACGGTGGTGGATGTGGGTGCAAAGCGGGTAAGGAGGGGCTGGCAACAGAGCTGGGGGCCACAGGCTGGCACCCACTGCCACATCCATCCAGTGCGTTCGTAGCAGAACGCCCCTCGTGCGGCACAGGGGGAAGCAGCTCGGCTCACCGTACGGAAGCCCCCAGGCACACTTGGGTGGTTTTTCTGGCCAGGCATGTTAACAGCCACTACAGCTGGACCTGGACCTGGCCACCCTGAGTGTGAGCCCACAAAGAGCGCCTGGGCAGCTCTGGTCACAGTTGCCTGGTCCACCCTGCTAGTCCGTCACAGGCACTGAATAAATAGTTGGCATAACCATGGACGTGAATAAATAAAGTCATCAAGGGTTGAGGACAGGGGTGTGTTTCAGTGTCCACGCGTGTCCAGACGGCCTGGGGGCAAGCATCTTCCGCTGCATGTCCGGGATGGCCGTGCCCTCCTCCGGCTGAGCCAGGCCCTGCCCTCTGCCAGGCCCCCATCTTCTCCCTCCTGCTTGGTCTGCACCTGGTCAGGTATAAAGCTTGAGGCAGTCCCAGGTACACAGGTAACCATGACCTTGACCTGGGAGGCCACTGTCCTGCCCTCCACCACTTGGTGTCTGGAGGAACTGGCTTGTAGCTTAGTGGCCTATGTCCACCACTGCGGGTGGACGGCTGCCCCATCCGTGTTGGGGTGGGGAGGACGTCCCCGCGCTGCCGGAGCCCCTGATCCGGAACAGAGGGTCTGGGCTCAGGATGGCGAGGGCTGGGCGGCAGTTAGCTTCATGGCGGCCGCCTCCTGGGCCTGCTGTAGCTTATACTTCTTAATCTTCCTCTGGCGGTTGTAGACGTAGCCAGCGGTGCCCACGATGCCCAGCAGGGCGAGGACTGCCACCAGGATGACGAGCAGAGGTGGCAGCAGAGGCTCTGTAGGGGAGGTGGCAATTGTGTAAGATTATTCGTTTGAAGAGCACAATGAGAGAAAGATTTTCCATGCCTTGGTTCACTTCCCCCAAACATGTGCCAGCAGCCCTGGCCGGGTCAGGCTGAAGCCGGAGCTAGGGGCTCAGTCTGGGTCTCCTAGGTGGGGCGCAGGGGCCCAAGGACTTTGGCCCTCCTCTGCCGCCTGCCAGCGTGTGCATGAGCAGGCGGCTGGGGACCACACCCTCCATCACGGAGTGCCCAAGGTGTCCCGAGCCATGCCTCCCCCTCTAGACCCCGGCACCCCCAGGCTTGCTCCCTGTCTCTGCCCACCCAGGGGGGCATACTCACTGGGAACCACATGGATGATGATAATCTGGGTGACCTCCCCGCGAGGGCTCACAGCCCGGCAGCAGTAGGTGCCAGCCAGCTGCAGGTTGACAGGCTGCGGTATGCCAATTGGCAGGCGACTTCCGGTGCTCTCATGTTGGCAGGAGACGTTTGGGGCCGGGTTCCCCCGGGCCTGACATGTGAGGGTCTGCCAGGAGTCTTCTGGCCACGTCAAGTTCTCCGGGCAGTCCCTCTGGTCCAGTCTGGGGCCGTCTGCATGGACACAGCAAGGTGAGCCCGTGGGGCCCCGGCTGTGGCACTGGGGGGAGGGCGTCAGGGGAGCTCAGGGGGCGGGACTCACACAGCACCCGCAGCTCCTGGGTCTGGTTCTTGCGGAACACCTGCCCGTCCACTTCCAAGGCCACGGAACACAGGAAGCGGCGCCCGTGGTCGTCGGCACTGGCGTTGAGCTGCAGCTGGACCCGCGGGGAGGGTGGCTGGGCCGGGATACCGTCCAGGGTCACCGTGCTCCCGTGGTGGCCCTCGCACTGCACAGTCACCTCTGTCCCTTCAGAGACTTCTGGCTGACTCAGTGTCAGGTTAGGAGCCGGGAAATCTGGGGGAAGGGCATGTGATGAACCAGGCGGGGCCCGGAGCTTCCTGTGGGTCTCACAAGGGTCCCAGGGGCCCAAGCCCTTAGGCCACCAGAGCAGGGAGCTGCTGGATGGGAAGTGGAGCAGCCAGGACTCAAACTGGCGCCCCCATGGGATGCAGGTGCTGCCGGTGACCACAGCACTGGCTCCTCGGCAAAAGCCCCACCCCCCGCCTTGCCCTTTCTTACTGAAGACGGTCAGGGTGGTCCTGGCCTCCTGTTGCCTGGTGCCCAGCAGGACCGTGCACACGAGTGGCTGGGGGCCTTCCTCCTCCGCCGTCACCTCCACCGAGGCTGTGGCCCTGACCGAGTCCTCGACGTGCGTGACCGTAGTGTCCAGCTCCCGGCCACCCAGCTGCAGCCGGACTTGTGCTTCCGGGGCGGGGAAGAGCCCAGCCAGGGAGCAGTGTACGTGGCCCTGTAAGCCCACCTCCAGGTTGTGGGTGCTGACGGTCAGGTGCGGAGGCCTCTGGGGCAGGGCTGATGAGGACGAGGGAGGAGAGGATGGGGTTGAGCAAAAACAGATGGGCACGCAGTGCTTCCAGGGGAATGTCCCTCCTCCATGTACCCCCTTGAGTTCAGAGGCTCTGGGCATGCTCCCCCATGTCTCAAAGACCCCCAGGAACCCCACGCCTCACACGGGAAGGCAGCTTCCGCCAACCCTTCATCCCACCATCCCTCCCACTCCCAGCTCACCGAAAGTTCGCAGCTGCCTGGGCTCCGAGGCGTTCCTGAACATCCCCACGCCCTGCGGCTGCAGGTCCAGCTCTGTGACGCACGTGAAGTTGGCACCGTGGTCCTCTCTGCCCGCCTGCACGGTGGCCATGACCTCCGCGGGCTCCCCCAGGGGCGCTGGCTGCCGCCTCAGCTCCTCCTGCCCGCGCAGCAGCACCACCGAGAGCCGCGCCCGGGGCTCCCCACCCTGCACCCGGCAGCTCAGAGTGAAGTCCTCTCCCACGGGCTGCCAGGCGGGCAGCGGTGCCAGCTCCACGTGCTGTGGGAACTCTGCAGGTGACATACAGGAAAGTCCCCTGAGCTCCCCGCTGGCCGGCCACCCCGCCCTCGGTGCCTCACTGCCCAGTGGCCCCACGTGTCTGCCACCTAAGCAGACAGGAATGCCAGGAGCTTGGGTGAGGCCACAAGGGCTTTGGCAAACCACCACATTCTACAGTCACCAGCTCAGGGTGGGAGAAACCTGGTCGGTGTGCAGCTAAGGTGCCTGGTCCAGCCAATGTTCAGATGCTACTTACAGAGGTGACAAAAACAAAAACAAAAACAAAAACAAAAAAAAAAGGAGGGTCCTGGAAAGCATTTCAGTGCAATTTTTTTCTTTTAGATTTAATTTTTTATTAAAAAATCAGATAGGGCCCGGCACAATAGCCTAGTGGCTAAGGTCCACACGCCAGGATCCCATATGGGCGCAGGGTCTAATCCTGGCAGCCCCGCTTCCCACCCAGCTCCCTGTCTGTGGCCTGGGAAAGCAGCGGAGGATGGCCCACAGCCTTGGGACCCTGCGCCCGCGTGGGAGACCCGGAAGAGGCTCCTGGCTCCTGGCTGCAGATGGGCCCAGTCCAACTCACTGAGGACTTCTGGGAAGTGAAGCAGCAAATGGAAGATGTTTTTATTTCTTCTCTCTGTAAATATGATTTTTCCTGTAGAAATAAAGCTTTAACCCCCCTCCCCAGCTTCCCCTGACGGGTCCTAATGTTTCCCGTTGCCCTGGCCCCTTCTCAGAGGCCCAGGCAGGTTAGGGGCACGGGTGGTGAAGTCTCGGGGGGCCTTGCTGCCACTTTGCTTTCAGTCTTGGGGGACTTTGCCTGTCAGCCTCCACTTGCCGAGCTGTGCAATGGGGCCGTGAGTCAGCTTTCTGAGGGCAAGGGACATGGTGTAAAATTCGTTTGCGGTGCTGGCTATCCAAGGCTACGAATATACTCTGAGATGCCCTGACACACACACCGATTGGGTGCTATGTAAATTCTATCTCAAAAAAGCTTTCAAAAAATTTTTCTTTAAAAAAAGTTCAAGAGGAACCTCAAGGTCAGCTCTTACCTCCAACCACTTCCTGGAACCGACCAACCCCCCCAAGTCTCAGCCTTGCTTCTGCCTTCCTCCCACCCCGCTGGAGCTTCAGCCCCCGCAGGGACCCAGCAGCCGCCGCTGGCCGCCACTCTCCCTCCGCCAAGAGCAGCTCCCCACCCCGACCGTGACTGCCGGGAGCCGAGGGAAGTGGGCCCTGCCCTTCCTTCTCCTTGGCCTCTGAGCTGAACTGCAGTGCCTCTCCACATCCTGGCGGCTCCATTCTTCACATGCTTGTCCGGCCCCTCCCTTGGTGGGCACCGCCAGGGCCCAACACTTGGGACGGCTGCACACACCGCCCACCACGTGTTCCTCTCGGCTCCCCTGGCACTCAGCTGCCCGCCCTGGCATGGAAAAGTGCCACCCAGGGCGTCTCCATCCAGACTCCCCTACCAGCCCGCAGCTTCTCCTGCCTTCCCCCACCTTAAGTCCAGACTTTTGTTTTAAACAAACTCTTACACATCCTTCGAAACTCATCCTGTAGCACTGACCTGTCCCACCTTGGCAGAGGAGGTTCTTGTCACCCAGCGACGTCACCTTGACACCGAGCCTGAGTCTCCCTCCCCTTGGACCCCAGTGCTGGTGGGCCTTCAGGCCGGGGACAGGTACCCAAATTTCCCGGGGAACAGAGTCAGACCTCAAGCCCAGAGTCCTGGGTTTTTAGCTGTCAGGCAGCGGAGAGCCACGGGGCGCTCCGAGAGGTTTCCTGGGGGTTTACAGAGCCTCCTGGGGATGCCTGGGGCTTTCCCTGCCTCCCCCAGGATGGGAGACCAGGCAGAGGCATAGCATGTGCTTAGTCAGCCCCCACTGGGGGTGGGGGGGCTTCCAGCGGATGAAAAAAACCCTAAAAACCCCGAGGTCACTCGGCTAGTAAGGCCACGGTCAGGTCAGGGCTGGGACCCATGTCTAACCAACTCGAAGGTGGCGCAGTGGGTCAGGCCACAGCCTGGAGTGCCAGCAGCACCTGTAAGCACTGGTTCAAATCCTGGCTGCTTCATTTAGCCAGCTCCCTGCTAATGTGTCTGTTATTGTTTTTGAACTTGGACCTGCTCTGGCGACCCCTTTTCAGCCCCAAAGTTGAAGGACACGTGGAGAGGCGATTCCCTCCCAACCGACAGTCGCTTCAAGGCCAGTGCCAGTCCTGGCAGGTGCGTGGTGCTCCCTGCCTCGGTGGGCCCTGCCAACCTGACAGGGCACTCCCTGCCTCGCGTTCCCTCCCCCTTCAGGCTGGCCGCCTGTGCCAGCAGGTTTCTGCCCATCAATTACTGCCTTCATCCCTCCCCACCCCCCCGGGCTGGTTCCTAGGACCCAGGCACCTGTTCCCTGAGCTCCGACACCCTGCCCCATTCCCCAGATATTATTTTTCAAACTTTAAGATGTATTTAGAGGGCCTGGTGTGGTAGACTAGTAGCTAAGGTCCTTGCTTTGCATACACCGGGATCCCATATTGGCACCGGTTCTAATCCCGGCAGTCTCGCTTCCCATCCAGCTCCCTGCCTGTGGCCTGGGAAAGCAGTCGAGGACGGCCCACAGCCTTGGGACCCTGCATCTACGTGGGAGACCCAGAAGAGGCTCTGGGTTGCTGGCTTCGGATCAGTGCAGCTCTGGCCATTGCAGCCACTTGGGGACTGAATCATTAGACAGAAGATCTTCCTGTCTGTATACCTGACTTTCCAATACAAATAAAATACATCTTTAAAAAATTGTATTTGGAGATGCAGAGAGACAGGGAATTTTCTATTGGCTGGTTCACTCCGAAATGTCTCCAAGAGCCCGGGCTGGGCTTACTGGAAACCTGGAACGTTCTTGCAGGTGAGTGGGGAGAAGCCACGGCCTTGAGCCAGCACCCGCTGCCTCTCAGAGTCCGCGTCAACAGGGAGCCGGACGTGGAAGTGGCGTGGGACTAAACCCAGGCATGCCTGGCCACTCTGCAAAGCCCTGACCCCTGACCTTGGTCTTCTAAGACTACTGGTGTGAAAGGCAGAGAGAGAGCTTCTGTCCGCTGGCTCACTTCCCCAGATGCCCACAGCAGCCAGAGCCGGGCCAGGCTGAAGCCAGGAGCGCCATGTGGGTCTCCCTTGAGAGTGGCAGGGATCCAAGCACTTGGGCCTCCATGTGCTGCCTTCGCAGGGCACCCTGGCTGGCAGCAGGCCTGTGGCACAGGACGTGGGTGCCCCATACCACCCTCCCCTTTGCAGGTTCCCCCCACCCCCACTCTCCATCCCCCACCCAAGCCTTTGATTCAGGGCCTTGACCTGTTATAAGGAACAAAGCCCAGTCAGCCGACATTCTCGAATGTTCTCAATTGTTCCCTCCCAAAAAACAGACACCTTCGCCAAGGGCCTCTCAGATGACCGTGGGACTTCCCAGGGCTGTCCCCGTGTGGTCCCCAGGCCTGGTACTCACCATACACGGTGAGGGAGGCGATAGCAGACGTCTGCTCCTGCCCCGGGCAGTTGGAGAAACACAGCGGACTGTTGTCACTGTCAACATTTTTCAGCTTGAACAGCTTCCAGGTGTCGCCCTCGGACACCAGCTCCTTGTCCACCGGTGTTTCCAGCCCCAGCTTCAAGGGCTGGGGGCAGGCCGTGCTGCAGTTCAGGTACACGGAGCCTCCTCGGGGCAGGGTGGCTTCTTGCGGGAGCACCCATGTCTGGGCACGTCCAGGTCCTGGGATGGGGCGAAGGAGAAGGATCGGGAATCGGTCACGTGACCATGACCGTAACCATGACTGCAACCGTGAGCTCCGCCAAAAACTGCATGAGCCAGCAGAGATAATTAGGAAAGGATGTGAGGGCTTTGACCACAGAGGGCAGAGAAAGAAAACTGGGGGACAGATGAGAGAAGGGAAGGGAACCCCAAGTGTCCTGGAGGAGGGTGGACCGCAGGGTCAGGAAGGCCCCCGTCCCCACCCTGACCAGGCAGCGGCTACTTGAAGACACGGGCCTCGCTCCAGGGTCGAGGCAGTGACGGCTGGATGCAAGCAGTGAGGCCCAATCTGGCTTTTGTTTTTGATTTGTTTAAGGTTTACTTATTTTTATTGGAAAGGCACAATTGCAGAGAGGAAGGGAGAGACAAAGGTCTTCCAACTGCTGGTTCACCCCCAGATGGATTCAACAGCCGCCAGAGCTGAGCCCGTCTGAAGCCAGGAGCCAGGAGCTTCACCTGGGCCTCCCACACTGGTGCAGGAGCCTAAGCACTTGCTTTCCTAGGCAGCGGGATCAGAACTGGAGCAGCTGGGATCTGAACCACCGTCCCTATGGGACGCCAGTGCCATGGGCAGAGCTTAACCTAGGCCACAGTGCCAGTACCTTCAGCACGGGGCGGGTACCAAGCACTCGCCGTGCTGGGACATGCGGGGAGGAAGCAGGTCTGTTTCGTTCCCTTGCAATTCCTCAAACTCTCCAAATTAGGAGAAAAAAAAAAAAAACCCTCCCGAAGGCCGCCCCTCCCACCTGCCGGGGCCCCAAGATTCCGGTTCTCAGATCCGTTTTATCTGGATCCGGGTGGGGTGGGGGAAGGGTGGGAAGCGTGGGAGAAAGTCAGCTGTGGAAAATAGCCCATTGCTAGGAGGGAAATGGCGAGGCCCCGGGGCGCGCGGAGCAGACCGAGCTATACAAGGGGACAGGAGGCTGGAGTGCATGGGTCGCCTGGCCCCGTGTGCGCATCCAGCGGGGCTCAGCCCTCCTGCTCTGCACCCTGGTCACCGCCGCCCACCGCCACCCTCGGGAAGGTGGGGTGACGGAGAGGCTGGAGTTTCCGCGGGAGGAATGCGCACGGGGCGTCCCATTTCTCCGCTTTCAGCCCCAGATCAAGCCAGCGCTGGAATTCCCCCCAAGCTGCTGTAACCTTGGACTTCCCCCGTCCCCGGGGTGCGCCAGAGGAGGAACCCGGCGTTCTTGGGGAAAGAGTCGGGGGTGGAGGCCGGGGTCCCCAAGATGAACGAGGTTGCGTGGGGCCAACTCCCAGCGAGGCAGGTGTCCAGCGATCACCACCACCAGCACCCTCACACACCCCCTGCCCCTACCCTCACACACCCCCTGCGTCATTCCGCAGCCGAGAACTCCGGCTTGGGGCGGCCGAATCTGCAGTTCCACGCCACCCGGCCGTGGGGGCATGGGGAGCATGCAGAGCTGGGGCTCGAACCCGCCGGGCCGCTCGCTGTCTTGGCAATCGGCGGCTCCCAAGGGCCTCTTTGTGGCCTGGGGGAGGCGCACACGGTCTCCGTGGATCACCCCCGCCACACCTGCGCCCAGGGCGCGCAGCCCGCCCACCCCGTGGGCGCCTCACCTGGGAGCAGCAGCGCGGCGAGCAGGGCCAGGAGCGCGGGCAGCGCGGGCAGGGCACCGTCGGGAGCCATAGCGGACGCACCGAGGTCAGCAAGCGGCTTGGGGAGGTGTGGAGCGCGCGCCCTCCCCGCCTCTTATAGCCGCGGGTCGCAGGGGGCCGGGGAAGGGGGGCGGCGCTTCTTTCCCGGAAACCTCGTGGCCTGCCCCTCCGGAACGAGGACTCCGGCATTTCCGGCCCCGAGAGGGTGCCTTGCCCCGAGAGGGGTGGTCCTGGCGCGCTGACCGCTGCAGCGGCGGAATTTCCAAGCAAAAGTAAGGAGGGCGCGGCGGGGGGCCGGGCGACGGCGAGGCTGCCCGGGCGCACGCACTCCCAGCCCCAAGCCCGGCAGGGCTGGTCTCCAGGCACAAGTTAGCTCTGCATGCAATCAGAGCTGGGATCTGGGCTTGGTTTTGTTTTTCAAAGATTTATTTATTGAAAAGGCAGTGAGACATCTTCCATCTGCTTGGTCTTATCCCAAATGGCCGCAACGGCCGGGACTGGGCTGGTCTGAAGTCAGGAGCCAGAAGCTCCTTCCAGGTCTCCCACGGGGGCGTGTGCAAGCACTCAAGCACTTGAACCATCCTCCGCTGCTTTCCCAGGCTCGTCAGCAGGGACCTGGATGGGAAACGGAGCATGCCCCAGGTGACGCGCCGGTCGGCTCAGCCTTTCACTGAATCCTGTCCCGCTTTCCTGGAGAGCTGGAGCCCCGGCTGCGCCCATCTCACCCGTGGCTAAACAGGCTGCACCCGGAAAGTGTGTGTGTGAGGGGCAAGGGTTGGAAAACAGCCCTGGCTTCCCAGCACCTGCCAAGCCCTCTTTAACCAAACAGCCCATTGCTAGAGTGGGGCTGGGGGAGGATTTTCAGGATTCTCGCTGGGGCGCCCTGCATGCAGAATGCCCCACCCCTGAGGGACACGTCCTCAGCAGCGACTTCCCCAGAAATGGCCCGAACAGCCCCAGGCCCTGCGTCATTCCCCTACTGCCCCCACTCTGCTTCCCCTTTTTCTCTTGGCCTGCGTTGCTGGGGCGTCTTTGCTGGGTCCTCGGAACAAGGAAGGAAGCCGCGTGGTCCTGACCTCGACAGAGGAGGGGCGCTCGGGTTGGGATTGGAGGGTGTGTGTGGCTGGGGGGGTGCTGCTGCGGCCTTGCGCCCGACGTGGGCGCGCGCAGGCTGGGTGCTGCGCTTGCAGCCTCCAACCCCGGGCACGTGCACTGGCTAGAGTGGCGCGTGTGACCCCAGATGCCCAGCGCTGGACACCCCTGTTCCCAGGGCACCGGGCCGCGCCGCCTGAGGCTTCCTGTTGTGGACGCGCCGGCGTCGGCATGGAGACCTGCGCGGAGCCTGGGAGGTCGCCCGGCAGAAGGGGAAGGGAGGGGTCTCGTGCGCTGGCTGTTCCCAAGGAATTTCCACGGGGATCTTTGTGTTGGGCCGCGGGGCGGGGAGGACGGGGCCCCCGAACGGCCCGGGCCAAGTCCCGAGAGTGGGACCGGCGGCCTTCCGGTGGCTTTAGTCCGGGAAAATCCTACGCCGCAGCTTCTTTGAGTTTGGGTTTTTCTCGGGAGCTTTCGGGGGGCCTCCCACCCAGCAGGTGCGCGGGGGGCGAGCGCCCCCTGGCGCCGCCAGTGTCTGAGCTTTCATTTAAAAGGGTGTTTTTTTTTTTTTAATTAAAATATTTATTTTTATTGAGAAAGGCAGATATACAGAGAGAAGGCAGGAGACAGAAAGATCTCCCATCCTCTGGGTCACTCCCCAAATGGCTACAACGGCTAAAGCTGAGCTGACCTGAAGCCAGGAACCAGGAGCCTCTTCCAGGTCTCCCACGCAGGTGCAGGGTCCCAAGGCTTTGGGCCGTCCTCACTGCTTTCCCAGGCCGCAGGCAGGGAGCTGGAACCAGTGCCTGTATGGGAATCTGGCGTTGCATGCGGAGACTGTGAGCCCTGGAGAAGTTGCCATTTGTACGGAGACCAGGAAGATGTAAGGAAGGGATTCCCCGTGTCCCTCAAGAGCAGTGGGGCGTACAGAGGGTCTGAGGTGGGAGTGGCTTGTGGGACAGAACAACCCCGACAGCCGTGAGGGTGAGGGGGTGGACAGTGCCGGTCGCCTGGGAGGACTTTGTGCTTTGAGTGAAGTGGGAGCAGGGCTAGGCTGGGTGGCCAAGGGTGCGGCCTAGGAGAGCCACAGGGCGGGAGGGGGCAGGCTGGGCATGGCGCTGGAAATGTAGATGGTCCCTGCCCTGAGGTGAGCACCTGAGCCCCGGGAGAGCAGGGGGGTTCCCGGTCAAGGCTCCCGGTGGGCTCCTGGTCGAGGTCCTGGGAGGGGCAGGTGGGCTCCTGGCCGAGGTCCTGGGAGGGGCAGGTGGGCTCCTGGTGGAGGTCCTGGGAGGGGGCAGGGCAGGTGGGCTCCTGGTGGAGGTCCTGGGAGGGGGCAGGGCAGGTGGGCTCCTGGTGGAGGTCCTGGGAGGGGGCAGGGCAGGTGGGCTCCTGGTCGAGGTCCTGGGAGGGGCAGGTGGGCTCCTGGTGGAGGTCCTGGGAGGGGGCAGGGCAGGTGGGCTCCTGGTGGAGGTCCTGGGAGGGGCAGGTGGGCTCCTGGTCGAGGTCCCCTGGGCATTTCCTGCAGTAAAAGGAGGCCACTGCTGCCCGGGTCCTAGCTGCTGCTTGCAGGAAGGGCACGGCTTCCTGCCCATTGCCAGGCCTGCCGCGGGTCTTGCGCCCACAGCGGGAGCAGCCAGGGCCCTTGCCCCTCGCACTCAGTGGCTGCGTGATCACCCTGCCGTTCCCTCCATCTCCATCCTCATTGTCACAGCCGATGCCTTCCTTCTGTGGCCACGGCTTCCGCCTACAGCCTCCCCAAGACCCCACCCCGTCCCGGGCCGCACCCTCTTCCTTGCTCTAATAGTCTTACAAATATTTATTGGAAAGGCAAAGTTGTGGAGAGAAAAAGAGCATCTGCTGGTTCACTTCCTGAATGCCCACAGCGGCCAGAGCGTCTGAAGCCAGGAGCTTTCTCTGGTCTCCCGTGTGGGTGTGAGCTCCCCAGACGGGGCCGTCCTCCGGTGCTGTCCCACACCGTCAGCAGCGGAGCCGGTGCAGGAATTATAAGCCCCGTCAACTTCCGGGTCGACACCTGCACTATGGCCGACCCTCCGCGCTGCCCAGAGGCTGAGAGGGCAGGCAGGACGGTGGGCACGGTGGGCTGGTGTCTGTCACTGCTAGGACCTTGTGCAAGCCACTCCCCCGGCTTGCCCTTCAGTGGGCACAGCTGTAAAGGATCCGAGGATACATGCAACTCCCAGTCATTGTTTCAGCCCTAGGCCCCCACTAATGGCCCAGACCGGACAGCAAGCCAGGGCATCGTGGGAGGGGGTCTGGGGACGTTTTGGCCCCGGGCAGCAGGCGGCTGGGGCTCTGTGCCCAGGCTGTCCACCCACGCACACAGGGGGCGGTTCTGGCAGACTTTGAGTAAACCGCCCCGTGCTGTTGTATAATCTGTCTTGGGTTCAGTGAGATCAGTCTGAGTAAACGCCTCCTGACTCCACGCTGGCTTGGGGTGTGTGTGTGTGCACATTCTTGGCAAGGCATCTGCTTTTGAAACACACTGCTTCTCTCTCAGGTTGTTTACTGAGAGCTAGACAGAAGAGCGTCACCCCAGCCCAGCAGCTGGGGACTGGGGCCGTGTCCGCGCGGGGAACTGGCGCCACTGTCGGGGGTCTCCAGTGTGGGCAGCAGGGTCTCGGCCACTCGAGCCTTCGCCTGCTGCAGAGTCGGGATTGGAAATGGAGGGGTGGGGTGCCAGCACATGCACCCCAAAAGGGGGTCTCTAAGAGAGCTGGACCAGGCAGAATTCAGAAAGCCCGGAGCTGCAGGTTGAAGTGGAAGAGCTGGGACTTGAACCAGTGTTTGTGTGGGATGTTCCACTGCAGGCGGACGCTCAGCCCGTGACACCACCTACAACAGCCCACCCCGGCAGGCGTCTGCGTAGTTAGCAGGGACTGTGCTGGGATCTTAGGGCTGCCAGGACACCTGCTTGTGCGAGGCAGGCTCCCCCGCCTTGCAATGAGATAACGGTGCCTGGGAGGGGCAGTGCCGTGTCGGGGACGGGGCCACCCTGGCAGGGGCCGTGCTGTGTCGGGGACGGGGCCACCCTGGCAGGGGCTGTGTCGGGGATGGGGCCACCCTGGCAGGGGCCGTGCTGTGTCGGGGACGGGGCCACCCTGGCAGTCTCCATGGGCAGCCCTGTGGCTGCCTTCCTACCACCCCATCCGTCAGCCCCAGTGCCCAGGCATGAGCCGCCCTGCACACCAACCAGGCCAAACTTGGCACCTGATGAGCTGCTGCGTTTGCTGTTGGATTATAAAATAAACTTTATTTCTGTAGAAAGCAGTCAGGGCGAGCCGGGGCTCACGTGGGCGGGGCCAGCCTGCGCGGCCTGCCGGGAGGGCCCCGGGAAGTCGCTGTAGGGCAGGCGGAAGGGATGGAGAGGTGTGAAGCGCGACTCTTGCCACAGCAGCTTGTCCTCCAGGAAGGCCACGGCGGGCAGCGTGAGCACCAGGCTCTGATGTTTCAGCATGCTGTACACGTTGAGGCCTGCGGGACAGGGCTGCGGTCAGCAGTCAGTGCGGGGACACCCGGGCTCCCACTGCCCGCTCCACGCGCCCTCTGCTGGCCGTGGCCGGAGAGTGGCCGCTGGGGCAAGGCTGCAGGTGCAGGGCAGCGCGCCGCCCTGGGGGCCTGGGGCAGTGGTCAGGACACGGGCTCACCCACAGCTGGGACCAGGCTGAAGGTCTTGAGAGCCGCCGTGGCCTCCACTATGCTCTGGGGCATGCCTTCGTGAGTCCTGCAACACGGGGTCCTGTGCTGAGCTGGGCAAGGCTGCCGAGGCCAGCATCTGTGCCAGCCCCTGCCACCACGCCCACACGTGCCCGGCCCTCACAGGTCCACGAGCAGCACCGAGGAGCCCCAGCGGCGGTAGTGGGCCAGCTCGGTGAGGTACTGCGGGTCGGCGGTGGGCAGCTCCAGGGAGTCCACAATGTGCAGGTCATCCTGGTGGAGACACA